TGGAAGGAAAGAAGAAATAATGGGCACCAAACAAGTATAAACAAAGCATAACAATTTACATTAGCTCTCAAGTCTTGAAAATAATCCTGTTCTCTGAGATCATCTGTGCAGTGGCCCTACCCTCTAGACTCTGGGTGTTGGCCATGCTTTCTGAATTCTAGGTGGAGAACCCTTTGTCCTGGGCTTCAGCTCCATCTTCTGGGCCTACTGGACACAACTCTGCTCCCTCAGCTTTGGCTGGCCCCCTTCTCCTAGTCCAACTGAGGGGCAATCCCATTTCTTGGCCCCAGCAGCCCCCATTCTTCTGCCTCATAGGCATAGCAGCCTTCTCTCTCAGCTTTGGGCAGTGGATCTGGCCCCATGCCCCTGGCACTCGTGAATGGCAGCCCCACACTCCAGAACCAAAGTGGTGAAGAGCTGACTCTTTGAAACCTAGGAGGCCATGGCCCCACCCTTTGAAACCCCAGAAGCCACGGCCCTACACTTTGAGACCCCAGAGGTCTTGGCCTTACTCTTTGAGACTGAGGCAGCTTGCTTTCCATGCTCCTTGTCTCTTCTGCTTCTGCTTCTTGGTTCCTTGGTCTCTTGGACTCTTGACCCCTTGGGCTTCTTGGGCTGGCCTGGCCTCTGCCCTGCTCAGGCGAGTGTTACAGAGCTCTTTAGCTCTACTGATAAGTGTCTGGAGGCACCCCACTTTGCCAGGAAGCCTCCTTCCTGAAGCCACTCAACTATCTCTTGCTCTGTGGGTGAGCTCCTGCAGTCTCATGCTGGTCTCCTGGTTCTGCTGGAGCCATTTCTCTGCTGTGCCATCTCTAGCTTTACAGCTCTCCTCACATCCTTCTGAGCCCTCACCAGAATTGCCTTTGAGGTCCATAATTGCACTAACAGTCTCTTCAAGGCAATCTAGGTTTTTACTATTAGGCACCTTAAGATTCTTCCAGCCTCTACACATTATCCAATCCCAAAACTACTTCCACATTTTAGGTGTCTGTCAGAGCAGCACCCCATTCTTGTTACCAAACTTCTGTCTTAGTTATCTAGTGCTGCTATAACAGGAATACCACAAGTGAATGTCTTTCACAAAAAGAAATTTATTCTTACACAGTTTAGGAGGCCGGAAGTTTAAATTCTGGCTCCAGCTGTAGAGGAAGGCTTTTCCTCTCAGCTCTAGGAGAATTTCCTTGTCTCCTTTCAGTGTCTGTGGGTCCAGCATTCCTTGGAGATCTACATGTGTCTTGGCATCAATCTTCCCCTCGGTCTAGGAGGTTCTCAGCACAGGGACCTTGGGTCCAAAGGATGTGCCCTCCTCCTGGCTCTTCTTTCTTGGTGGTAGTCAGGGGGCTTCTCTCTCTACTGGTTTCTCTTTCCTTTTATCTCTTGTAAGATAAAAAGTGATGCAGGCTACAACCTAGGGAAACTCCCATTACATTGGATCAGGGCTGTGATGTGAGGGAGTTGCATTCCACGGTAATCCTGCCTAATTAACATAACAAACACAACCTAATCCTCTTTAACATAACCTAATCCTGTTAATCACAGGAAGAGACTGGGATTTACAATGCATAGGACAATTAGATCACAAAATGGAGGACAACCACACAATACTGGAAATCATAGCCTAGCCAAGTTGACATATATTTTAGGGGTGACACAATTCAATCCATGACATTTTAAAACTGTGTAGGTATGAAGAGTCCAAAAGATTTCTGCATTATCAGTTTAAGTTAAACTAAAAGGATTAGAAAGCCTCAATATTTGACATATTTTTCATCCTCCAGTATATTTTAGAACAAAGAGCATTGATTTTTTTTTTATTTTAAAAAGATTAGTCTCATAGTATTCAGTGTGTTATTATCTGTGATCATATTTTCTAGGTTCTTAATAAAAATATAAATTGTGAATATTATATATACTCAAAATTGATATTTTTGCAATATAGCAAAATAATATTAATCTTTCTGTATCACCTCTGCTGTATCAAATTGTTTTCAGTTAAAATATATATTGTCTAGGAGTAAACATCTGGTTTACAATATCATGAGCAAGAGAATAAAAGGCATAAAAGAGAGTAAGTTCAAGGTGAGAGGATAGTCTAAATATCATTATATCGTTTTATGTATTTATCAATCATTTTGTCAAGGAGAGGAGAGGAAAATATTATATATAATCTCCTTAGACCATTCCTGGAACAGGTTGTTTTCAAGTACTCAACCATAATTTCCCAACATTGTGTCAGATTTTACCATCACATTTCTTCATTTAGTTTATCCTTTATTTGACAGTTGCTTATTACGTTAATTTGGAACACTCTATGAACTACAAGGGAGGTAAAGTTTTCTTAGTTCATACAAAAATTATTAAGTTCTTTTCCTTGAGAGAGGCAGAAAAAGTCTTCCAGGGATCATATCACTTGGCGTTTAAATAAGTATATTTATATAATACAAACATCAAAGGGCTTGTTCACGAAGAGTAAAATACAGTGGCTGAACGTCTTTCAATCCTAAATCAAATGCCTTCTGAAATTTAGCAAAATAAAATAATGAAAATTTGATGCAAAATTTATTGATAAAATATATAAATTCCAAATTTATTTCTTAATGAAATTTATTAACATTTCAACTGCAAATTACTAAACTCAGCATTCTAGACTGGATTATGAAATTATGAATTGTATTACACAATATTTTAATATGAATAAGCAACTCACTATTTAAAAGGTATTAGCATTTTTCAAAGAATTACACATTTATAAAACAATACATCCAAAAATTATCTTATCAAGCCATGGATGTAGTTATGTGGAAAATTAAGCTTTGTCTCTTGAGTGTAGATGTTCTTCCAGTATGACTGAGAAAGTGTACTACCATTTAGTTCTTTTTTGTATAGGCAAGTCAGCCACATATGGAATAAACCGTGCGTGTGTGTGTGTGTGTGTGTGTGTGTGTGTGTGTTTGTGTATTTATTGCTGAAGTTATACTATCCTTCATTTACCAATTAATGGGTAGATTGAAATTTCTCTGAAACATTCTGTCTAATGTTAATATTACAGATATATCGATTATATAAAAGTCAAATATATGTATATATTTAGGATAGAAATTTCTAGAGAACAGGGGCTCATAAACATATAGGTAAGCTAGAATCCTTATTCAAATATTGTCAAATGCACATTAATAACACTTCAGTTAAATGAATACTGTGTGTTATGTCTACAATAAAATACTTCTTATATTTCAGGTATGCACTTTACTAAACTCTGAAACATGAAAATTCATTTGTTTCTCTCCATTCTTACTCATTTTTCATAAATGTGGAGACAACATACACAATTTTTTATGATCTTTGTGTCTCCAAACATAATTAATGTGTATTGGACTTCTTAGAAAAGAAAAAGCCAATTCATATCTAGGTGGAAGTAAATTAATGATACTACAAACCAATTCTGCAAATACATCATAATTATCTACACTTTTGGGGTACAAAAGACAAATTATCACATGGCATTTTTCTTGGTAGTTACAACTCAATCATCATAATTCTCTTATTTGGTCAAAATCTGAGCCAAGTTTTTATGACAAGACCAGTGAAAATTGCTTATCTAAATAGCAACTAGGTAGGCATTCTGCCCAGGTAACTTTAGAGAGTAGAGATCAGTGGGACAATAGATAGCTAGAAGGGGGACTTTGGATTATTGCTCCTCTACAGAACATAAACTGCCTCAAAACTAGAAATTCCACTGATGCATAATTGCTATTTGAATATTAAAATAAGTCATGGATTATTACCAATATTCTTAAGGAACCATTGAATACTCTTACATGAATAAGAACTAGCAGAAATGAGTTTTCAGATATAAAGAGAAAGGGTATTCAAATAGCATAACAATGTTTTATGAAAATAAACTGTCACCATGGTAATTTAAGGGTGTAGTTATAAATCTTTTCAGGGCACAATATGCAGTATATTGAAAAGCACCTAATTCTGTATATTTATGAGTTGAATAGGTGCTGAAGAGTCAAAAGTAAATGAGTACAGCGGGAACAAAATCAATATGAATATTGATTTTCTGACATTCTTTCGAACATTACAGTACATTTTCACATTTTTGTGCAGGTTTAAATCTTTCCACGAAGATTTTTATCAAGTTTTCTATAATGGTGTAATACCAAAACCTTTCCAAATGGACATTTCTCATTACAGCATATGCCTTCTAACAATTGCCTGCAGGTAAAATGAAAATACGTTCAGTTACAAAGTTTGTTGTAGGTTGATTATGCTCAGCTCAGTGTCAGAAAATGACTTCTACCAAAGGCTCTTATTCAGGCTCTACCTCTTCTATTTGTGTTGAAAAAGAAAAATGTAGATATGTTAGTACATATATTAATATATATGTAGATGTATTAGTGTATCTATTAACATCAAGTTCACTTTAAATAAGTCTATACCATCATGGATGTGTCCAGGCTGAAATCATTCAGAGGCTGAAAATTAAAGCATTAATTAAAAATGGCTAGTTATTTCCCAAAATGCGTGTTTGATAGAATATCTGCTTTGTGCCCATCAGTGTGTTAGAGTGCTGACTAACTAGGATTATCAGCCCTATTCCTATAAATCTAGTAGAAGCAGACATAGGTTTTCCAATACAGTAACCAAAATTGAGCAGGCAACCATACATACATTTGAGAGGGAAACAAAATCCAGATTTAAAAAAAATATATACGTATCAGAAAAAGAGATATGATTCTATTAACGACAGAATAAACAGTGACAAGTTAATACTAGTCTGTGAAGAGAATATACCTGGAAAAGAGAAACTGTGTGCTTAAAAAATTAGCACTAACTTGGACAAGGTAAGGCTTAAGAAACACATCCATACATTAAGGTTATCCACTGACATATTGCTTGCTTGATTTGTTTTGGGACGTGCATCGTCAAATGTCCAGATCAAGGAAATGAAGAGATCAGCTGCAAAAGATCAGAATCACAGTTTCCTCTCTTACCTTCCACTGAGGAGAAAGCCGATAACCACTGCCAACAAAATGGCTCCCACTGTCACAGACACAGCAATTATTGGAATCTGGCTTTCATCGCTGGATGCCGCAACTGCTGATAGGAGACAGGAATAGAGCTTGTGGTTAAAGTGATCATATGCATTCGAAATAAGAGCTACTTAATACTTGGGAATCAATTCATGGTTTAAGCAATTCTCCCACACTGGGCGGAGATTTCCCCCTAAGATCTTTCCTCAAAAGCAGACATCTTTAGGAGAAAATATTTACTCTCCAAATAAAATTCAAGAGTTTCACTAAGCCACTGATTATTTCCTCGCCATAAAAAATGAATACACTGTTTGCATAGTATTCATTTAGGGACTTAGGTTTGCAAGGTAAAATGTAATTTCATCATTTATTTCAAATACCTTAATCTATATAGGAGAGGCTAGGAATAGGAGATTTGACATTTACAGTCCACAAGCTGCTATGTTAGAGAAGAAAGTCTGGTTAACTCTGAAAGCTCCCCCTCAGCCCCATAGATGTAGGTTGAAGTCTAAAATGCTGTGGCTAAGACCTCATTGACTGACATTAAATATAAAACACTGTGCAGTGGTTAAGACCTCAGTCTGCTAACAGGAAGGTTGGCAGTTTGAATCCACCAACCGCTCCTTGGAAACCCTATGGGGCAGTTCTGTCTGATAGGGTTGTTATGCTTTCTAGAGAATATTTTATGTAATAAAAATATTTAATTTCAAGCAATAACATAATCAGTAAATATATTTTATATATAGAATTATTTTTAGAAAAATATCCAGGGACACATTTGTAACACTCGTAAGTCTAAGATGTGACTAGATTCACCTGTATCATCTTTTTAAATAGTACTTGGGATTTAGATTAAATATTTTATATTTTAACAATATAGATACCATAATAAGAGTACAATTGCACACACACAAAAAAGTATAATTACTATGGACGTAATTAGATACATGTACCTAAATTGGCAAGGAACTTTTGTTCTTGAGTTGATAACTAATTCCTCATTAAAATAACAAATCTATAGAATAAAATACATTTTATGAAAGTTTACAAGAATCCCTCATTAACAAACCTAGCATGTTTATTGTTTAATTTTATAATGTTGATATTTTTAGAGTATCACTAGTTTATACGCATAATCTCAAATTGTCAGTCATTTGAGCTAATCACAATAACCATATTTTCATGTTTATTTTTATTTATTTATTTTTTTTACAATACCTTACCAAGTCTTGGCATCATCAGTAACTTTTAACCTCCAAATACTTCTTTCTTTTCTAGTCACCTTGTCCTTGGATCTTTCTAACCAAAATTGACTGATTCTCTGACTATTTCTTGCAATGGTTTGTATTTTCAAACACTTGAGGTTAATCCTATTATTATTATCTGCTGGTTCATAGAGCCCAGTATTATCAAGAGCTTGTTCAAGGACATATATTATTTACAGTCTGAGTCTATGCTACAACTCTCCCTCTTCTTGGGTGATAACAGGTAATTCAACGGCTGTTTACTTTTTTTTTTTTTCCTTTTATTCTTTGATACTGATGTCTGGGGTAAGAAAATTAATTACTGGTTTATAGTATAAATTAGTTATGTCAGAAGTAATTCACTATTACCAGTAGGCTTCCATAAGATTTGCTTTATTAATCTATAAATTCAAATTACTTCTATTTTTCCTCAGTTTTTTTTTTGGGGGGGGGAAGCGGGTAGAGGGGACACTTCTAAAGAAAACCATGCAAGCTTGGCCCATATAAGTTCGATGCTATTCAACCCTTTCAGGACCAGTGGTGTATATAGGTACCATTTACATCATTGGGAAGCTACTGTCCCACTGACAGAACGTGCTGCTGGCAGGCAGGGCCCTATGTAACAGTTTGAAATGGAAAAAATAGGCGTGTGCCACAAATTACTGTTTTTATAGGGTATTGTATGAGGTGGTGCTGAATCATTGAATTTTGGGTAGAAAAAACATGAATTTTGAATTTTTTTTTGGTACACATATGTACCTTTGGACTCTGAGGATATGATTTGTGAATGAGGCATACAAAAAAAAACCACATTACCCAACAAAAACTCAGACACACTTAATGATTCAGCATGCCCTTCATTACGGAAAACACATAGTATCAACAAAAACTTAAAAGGAAAAAATAATTGGGTCATAAAAGGGTATAATTTTGTTTGGGCTCTAATGCCTTTGATTCTCTTACTAATTCCCTAACAAACTCATCTTCATAATGAGTCTCCCCCATTTTCTCTATATACTAATACATTCTAACATCCTTTAATTTAGAAATGTTAAAATTTAGGTATAAAATAGAGTGATCAAATCTGAGATTCATGGTTAAATATACCTGTATAACTTTATTTTGCTATGCCTAACTTCATTGTTAGAGCTCCCTCTTGTCTCCTCCTTCCTTCTTCAAAGTTTGCCCTCCAGGAGGGATTTTTGTTCCCCTATAGGATCGCTATGAGTCAGAATTGACTCGATGGCAATGTTTTTTTTTTCTTTTATCAGTTACTTCTCTGCTGCTTAAAATCCTGCACAGATATAACTTCTTCTTCTTGTTGCTGTTAGTTGCTGTAGAGTCAATTCTGAGTCACGGCGACCCCACGTGTGCAGAGTAGAACTGCTCCATAGGGTTTTCAAGGATGTGATCTTCCTGAAGCAGACTGCCAGTCCTTTTCTTCTGAGGTGACTTTGGGTGGGTTTGAACCACGAACCTTTAGTCTAGTAGTTGAGTGTTTAACTGTTTGTGCCACCCAGGAACCCCTTACATCTAAACTTACTGGAAATAGTTTGAATACCAACTCCAACACTTACCAGACATATGGGACAAGAGGAGTTATTTAACCTTCTAAAGTCACATTTCCTTCATATCTAAATAGGGATAACTTCCCTGGATCATTATATTTTGTGAAGGTTAAATAAGATAATACAAAGCACTTAGCATATTACTTCAACCACAGGCAGACTTCAATAAATAGTAGCTATTATAAATACATGTTATTATTATCTCTTGTTTTATTTTCCCATCTTGACAGAGTTGTCTAGAAGTAGTCACTGAGTGCCAACATTGTTAAATTATCTCTGAAATGTATCTTCTCTCCTTCTGTCCCAAGTTCCATGAATGATATTGTATGTCCTAAATACAATGAGTATTTTTCCATTTGTCTCACCCTGCACCAAATGAGGATTTTTACATTGTTGAACATATCCCTCATCCTTGCAACTCTCCTCCTCTTGGTTACTATGGCATGGGACAATGTATTTTCTCTTTGTCTCTATGAAGCACAGCTTTGTCAATTATATGGGCTCCAGATTCTCTTCCCACATCGTATGTGTGAGTGTTTCCTAATGCATGGTAGTTCCTGATCCTCCACACCTCTCCCTCTTGCTCTGGATCGCCCTCCCCCCTCCTTTTTCCCCTCCCTCTGATAGATACTCTTTTGCTCATAGCATTATTTAACAACCATCATCTGAAGGTCCCCAAATTTATATTGCCAGTTCTTATTTTTCTCCTAAGTATTAGTGCATTTTTGTAACAAAAGACTGCTATCCCTCTTCTTTGGATTTTATTGTTACACATAAACAAACATTTCTAAAATCAACCCTTTATATTACCCCATCCCCAAGGACATTAACAAAAACAAATCAACAGAAAAACCTGCCATGAATCCAACCAACAAATCAAACTGGTTCTCCCTCTTTCTGTTTTTTTTTTTTTTTTTCAACTAACACTGCTTTTTTCTTAATTCCTGTTTACCCATTAGTTGTCAAATATTTTTATTTCTTTTATTTTTTTCCCTATCCATTACTTCTTTTCATTCACTTCTCATCTGTTTAATTCAGTCATTTCCGTATAACCAAATGGCTGAAATACAAGCTAAGTATTCCCGCTGTCTCTTATGTACTTGCATTAAATATCCAAAAATATTACTTTAGTTAGTCTACTCTGATCAAAAAGGTAATAGAAATTCCCAAATCTTCAGTCTACCTTTCAAAAGCCTTTCTAATCTGACTCCAACAAATCTTCTGAGCTTCTTCAGTGATTAACTGTTCAAATGAATGCTAGTTTAGGAACTCTCACAGTTCAGTTTTGAAGGAAAAGGGCATGATTAATACCAGGTAACAGTAAGAACAAAACAACTTCTGGCTGACTAAAGAATTATTTTTTAGAAAAATTATAGGTGATTGGTAGTATCAAATGCTTTCTTTTTAGTAATTGACAAGACATAGTTTAACAATGTTCTGTAATGTGTACTTGTGTATCCTACTGTACATATGAAATTTCACCTCCTGTACCTTATAAATATAGATACTATTTTGCTTTAAAATAATTGCTAATGATACACCAACATTCTCCAAACATTAAAATTAATAACTTTAATAAACATATTTTCTAAGTAATGTCAAATCACAAACATTAATATTTCTATGTTTTAACCTATTTTCCAGTGAAATTATAGACTTCTTGTGTAATAGGCAATTAAGAAGATATGAGGAAGATTTTAAAGAATATCTTTTTATTTATTTTTTAAAACTCGCCACATTTTGAAGTTTCTTGATAAGTTTTAAATTACTGATTATTTCACATGAACTGATTAATTTGTAAGCTATTTCTAATAGGAAACAGTTCATTAAGATTTTTCATTATTTATTTCTTTGTTTGTTCTGCCAGAATCAATAATATCAACAATTATATTAACTAAACTGCAGATATGGGATTTATAGGATACTGTCAATCCCTTCATATTTATTCATTCCTTAGACAATAGAAAAAAATTAACCCTAAATATGAACCATGATGGTCATTTTAACATATTTTAAATTTTCTAATCTTTAAAGATATGAACCTTTAGCCACTCATGTTTTCCATCATCTTATGTGTTAACTAAGAAATAATTGATAGATGATTTATTTTCACAAAACTAGTTGAGACGTGTTTTGAGAGCACTTGAAAGCAAATTTTGAAGTATTATAGGATGTCATTAAAAGGATATTAGTCATAAAAAATAATAGTCTTTATTAAAGAATAATGTTTCCTTTCCCATTATTGTAACTATACTTCATCTCTGGAAAAACAAGGTGACTTCTTAAACACATGTGTCTTTTTTATCTACTGCTGTTATAACAGAGATACCATGAGTGGACGGCTTTAACAAAGTGAAATTTATTTTCTCACAATCTAGTAGGCTAGAAGTACAAATTCAGGGCTTCAGCTCCAGGGGAAGTCTTTCTTTCTCTTTCGGCTCTGGAGGAAGGTCCTTGTCATCAGTCTTCCCCCGGACTAGGAGCTTCTCAGCGCAGGAACCTCAGGTCCAAAGGACGCATTCTGCTCCCAGGGCTTCTTTCTTGGTGGTATGAGATCCCCAGCTCTCTGCTTGCTTCCCTTTCCTTTTATCTCTTGTAAGATAAAAAGTGGTGCAGGCCACACCCTACGGAAACTCTGTTTACATTGTTATAATCCCACACTAATCCTCTTTATCGTAAAATTACAATCACAAAATAGAAGACAACCACACAATACTGGGAATCGTGGCCCAGCCAAACTGATACATTTTTGGGGGGCATAATTCAACCCATGACGATATGCTACCTTAAATTTTCCCACCCAGAAGTTCACATTTAGTAGTCTTTCCAAAAAAATTTAAATATTTTTGCATTCTGTTTTCACTACTGTTTGCACTAGGTTTTAGCATTATATTTTGAACATATAATTCAGATGAGATAATGTAAATAAAAAAAGGAAAGCTTTTTATGGAAACTGCATCTCCTGTACCTTATAACTCGGAGCCTTAGCAGCACAGTTGATAAGCATTTGGCTGCTAAACCAAAAGGTCAGCAGTTTGAATCCACTACCTGCTCCTTGGAAACCCTATGGGGCAATTCTACTCTGTCCTATAGGGTTGCTAAGAGTGAGAATCGATTCTACGGCAATGGGTTTTAAGGGTACCTTAAAAACAAATGACAAGTTTTATATGAATTAATAAATAGTATTTAAAAAAAATAGCCAATAACGTAATGTTTCAGTGTGATACTTTTATGTATCATTATGAATTGGGCATCCAATTAGAAAATTATTTTTAAAAAGTATATATGTAGTAATAATTTTAAAATAATTTTTATCCTTACATGCCTGAATTATAAGATAAACTTTCATTAGCAAGAGTGACTCATTGAAGCACTTATTCTCAACTAGTCAACCACCAAATGAAAATCACCTATAAACTTAATAGGCAAAAATGCAAATACACTTAAGATGCAATAATTCTTAAATTCCAGTATTTGGGGGACCTGTTGGGAAAATTATATGTAATTTTATATAAAGTAAATAATTGCCCAATAAAATAACTCAAGTGATTTCACAAAAGACTACACAAGTAATTGTTAAACAAATGGCATATAACATAAATACTACAGGAGCTCTGAAGAGAAGTGTTATTTTCATTATCAGTGTGTGTCTTTTTTAACTCCCTAGACTATGTTGTTGTTGTTAGTTGTCATCAAGTAGGCCCTTGACTCATGGTGACCAAATGTACAATGAGATTGCATGGTTGTGATCCATAAGGTTCTCGTTGCTGAGTTTTTGGTAGCAGGTCACCAGGCCTTTCTTCCTAGTTTGTCTTAGCCTGGAGAAACCAAAACAAAATCCATTGCTGTCCAGTAGATTCTGACTCATGGCAATCCCATACACAACAGAGTAGAACTGCTCTATAGAGCTTTCTTGGCTGTCCTGTATTTTTACGCAAATAACACATGCCTGCTATGTTTGTTTGCCAACCACGCTCTCCCCTTAAGATGTATTTTCCTATGAACACCATTTTTTTGCCAAATTCAATACTAAAGAAAGCTCTTATGGTATTTTCATAGAAAGACTAAGCCTAATGGAATAATTCAATAAAACAAGTGAAAAGTTAATGGTAATAATTCAATAAAGTATGGCAGCAATGGAAAGAAAATCTTTAAAACAAGGTTTAAACATTTTTTAAGGATCTCCTGATGTTTCATCTCCCTGTAGACTAAATGTGCTGAGGAAGCAGGGACAGATGTGTTAACCCACCAACCTACCATAATAGTATGACAGACACTTCCTACCTGAAAGGGGTCATGCCAGGGAGAGAGACAATGAGAGTGAGACTGACAGAGTGCCCTGGGAGGGTATCGATCCACTGACTCTTTTCCGGTAACCATTACAGAGACATGAGTTGACAGTAATTAAAATGACTTACACACTGGAATGGTTTCAAACTCAAATCTTCGACTGAAGATACCATAGCCTGCTGCTGTGCGTGCTCGAATTTGGAAGACATATACTGAAGCTGGTTTCAGGCCCTCTGCAGTAACAGTTGTCTCTTTAGATTTGATAATTGTGTAGCTGGTCTCTTGGTCCTTGGAATGCACATGTAAATTAAAAATAAATAATGTTAGCACATGAATTACTAATAAAAGTAAAATATAGGATGATACAGCAGAAAATGAACCAGAAATCAATCTAATGTTTAAAACAAAAACCAAAAATTGTATACACTGTAAGTGTGTTACTAATATAGAATTTCAAAATGTATTCTTGGTGAGTGTTTTCCATCCATCCATCCGCCCACCTTACTTGTCTTTGGTAAAAATTGATTTGCAAAACTTTCAAAATACAATTTTGCAGGAGATTAATTATTTTACAGAATATATTTCAGTATTTTTATTTTGTGCTTGTTTCCCTCATAAATAATTTTTGGCACACATCCAACCTGGTGCTGTTCATAGAGAAAGATGACAATGTCTTGCATACTGCCAGATAAGACTTATGCTTTAAGTCTTTAGTGAGCTAGATTTCTGATAATTTTTAGGGCACTGGAGAAGGAACAAGTACTTCATTGGAGAACTTTGATTTCATTTCACTAAGTTTAAACAGGGAGCATTACAAAAACAAACAAAAAAAACAGAAACAAGCAAAATCTTTTTTTTTTCCTTTTTAAAAACTTCCTATTTTTTCACGTATGTGTGTTTGGGACTGGGTAAGTAGTACACGGAGATGGAATGGGAAAAAAAAATCACTAGAAATATAGTTTTGGAAACTGAAACAAGTAGGAGTTGTTGCTATTCTCACTGCCTTGCACTAAAGTCCAGACTAGCCATTCATAACCTCTCATTATCTCTTTGAATTTAGCAAAATGAATATAAACTCTTAGACCTATAATATTTAAAACACACAAAAGTCCCTGTTTGAACTTTCTCCTCCCTTATATTTTTATATGAATTCTTGGCTAAACTTGATTTTTTTCTGTAAGTTTTCCAGATATATTGAATTTCTGAGATGTTAAAGGACTAATTAAGGATAGTTAATGGTTAGAGAGTTTTTTTTTTTTTTTTTTGCTTTCATCAAGACATTGTGATTACTCAAAAGAACTTGATTAAAAACTGTAAACTTTCATCTTCTATATATTTTAGAGATTTTTTTTTTTAAATAGAAACAAGGCATTGCTTTTATTTTTTTAAAGAACTAATAGAAAGAACATGTATTATTTTTCCAGAAATGAGAATAAAATTTAAAACAAGAATATAATACTCATTTATCAAGCTATAAATTCTAATAGTATTGGAATATGGTTACTATTAAATCTTCACAATGCTATGAAGGTGTAAAACAAATGCAAGCTGCATCCCTTCTCCCCCCAAGTTTACAAATGATGGCAGCATGGCATGCTGTGCCTTTAGCATGGATGCTGAAATCATGTGCTAAAATATAGAAGGTTCATTTTTACTTTTATCCTGTCTCCTTATCTGTAAAATTTGGGTAAAAGAATTTTAATGCAAATGAAAAAATTTAATAATATGTTTTAATTGTAATCATAATTATTTTAATTTGTATTTTACTCTCAACTCTTTCTAATTTTACATGTCAGAACAGGCTTCTTGTTTTTTTCTAGACTATACCACAAATACAACCTAAAATATTCAACCTATAAACTTTCTCTTATTTTGCAGCAATTTTACCTTTCCTCATTTAATATGTTTGAAAATATAAAATTATCTTTGAGTTAAGTACATCCAATTTTCTCTCTAAAGAGGTAGGACATAAAATCTAAACAGGCTTTCTGATTTATTATAGGAAAATTAATGATCTTTGGTTTTTCAATGCGCGGGTTAAAGTGACTAATCTTTAAGTATTTAGGAAACTTCATAAGAGTTTCGCAAAGGATTCAAAACAGATAACTAAATCTTATAGAACCTTACCTACAAATATCACTTTCCTAGGTTATATCATTTTCTTCATTCATAAATATTTATTTATCTTCTACTATGTGTCTTACAGTACAGCAATGAAAAAGCGGACAATTTCTGAAGCGTTGCTTTTCAAACTTACAAATAGTTCCTATAAACTATTATAGTTACTAACTGTTCCGTGAATGCTCACAATTTGACTGAATATGTAAAACTTTTCTCAATATTTTACTTTTTAGGTTGGCTATGATAGCAGCACTAATTTTCACTGGAAAGGAGTCAAATGTTTGCTGGTATTATTTTCAGTGATGTAAAGATAACTTTACATAGTGAAAATCTAGTCACAAATACAGTATAAGAGTCTGCTATATTTCATGTAACTGATTTTTCACAAAATCTTAATATTTATAAAGTAAATTAAGACTTTTTTTAAAAATAAAAGCACAGTAATAACAGTAATTCAATTCCATTCATGTCATTAACTAAGTGCATAAATATGGGTACACAACTACTTGTGGAATATCAATTTTTCTTCTTTAAAATGGGGATGGTATTACTTACTGTCATGGTTTAAATTATGTCCCCCCAAAATCAGTTTGGCTAGGACATGATTCTTGGTACTGTGTGATTTTCCTGTATGTTGTAAACCTGCCTCTATGATGTTAATGAGGGAGGATGGGTGGCAGCTGTGTTAGTAAGGCAGGACCTGATCTACAAGGAGTGCTGGGAACAGAGCGAGTCCTTTGGACAGGGGTCCCTGCGCAGAGAAGCTCCTAGTCCGGGGGAACGCTGATGAGAAGGCAGAGAGAGAGAAAGCTGACACCTTGAATTTGGACTTTTAGCCTACTTTACTGTAGGGAAATAAATTCCTCTTTGTTAAAATTATCCACTTGTAGTGCTTCTGTTAGAGCAGCACTAGATGACTAAGACACTTACTAAGAGAACGGTGAGGATATAGGTATGTGGATATATATATATGTATATATATATAGCACCTAACACAATCTCTAAAATACAGCAGGTTCTCAGTAACTTTGATTAACTCTTGACCCTTTAGCATTATGGTAAATTCTTCAATTGAAAAGTAAAAAGGACATAATTTTTAAAAGTTTACATGGTTGTAACTCCTTACTATTGACGGTAAAATTAATACACTTTGAAAAAAAATTATAAATTGATACATTCACTAAAAAGGGGAAAAACATTACCAGAAAACTAGAAAGCCGCTTCTTGAAATAGCATGTTATTTAATAACAACTGCACAATTACACAACATTCCATCTGACTTATCCATTAACCTTGTGCATGTCTTGGTGTCTCACTATTTAGGGTCTTATCAAATTGTACACTGTCTCCCTGAGTGAGTTGAATACTATGTTTTCTAAAGGAAGTTTATATATATAAATATATATATCTCTCTCTAAGCTATCAAAGGCAATAAATAAAAAATTTGAATTACCTAAAGATGTTTCAAAATTTGTTGTTTTTCATGCCTTTAAATCATTCTCATGTTTTAATTTTCTTCATATCATAAACCCTATATACACATCTTCAACACACACAAATACCAGGCTGCCAAGTCTTTGGTCAGGAAGGTGGCTTTTGCTGCCTTCAAGCTTAGCAAACGAGCAACACTCCCCAGCTGCTTAGCAAACACTGTTCCCATGCAGCGAGGGGAGGGCCTCAGCAGACAGAGTGAGCTGGCAAACACCCTGCCAAAGGGCAGCTTCCATTTGCCTGTGCCTTTAATTAAGAAATGGCAATGGGCCCATCACCATGCAGGAGCAGAGAGGCCCAATGACCTCTATTAGAGCAGGGCAATCTCAGGCAGAAATGCCAGCTGGCAAATGCGTGTGCCCTGGGAAGCTCTGCCACCTGTGTCTGGCCAAAAGCCATCCAGTAAAATGGTGGTGTCGTTCTGAAGGTTTAAAATGAGCCCTGGGAGCCTATCTGGATCCCCATCTCAATACATGTATAAAAGCTCTTTATCTTTTTTTTTCTTTTCTGAAAATTAAAAAAAAAAACTAAGAAAAAAATGTATGTGTATTTTATGTGTCTGTTCAATGATTTTGCTTTGCAATAATATCCAGGAATTAATATCTTCATTGTAAAAAAGGGGTTAATAACTTTCCCAAATAGTCAATAACTTCCCCAAATAATATACAAAGGTTTTACTGCTCTTAAAGCATATAAGTAGGCAACTTGTTATTCATTTATTGAAGATATGTATAGAAATGTTTTTCCCAAGTCAGTTTTTGTACTTTGATTTATGCAGGTAATGTAATGTATCAATACAACATTGTGTACTAAAAATAAGATCAAATATACTGAAATCAATACAATTAAAAACAAAGTCAGACTATAAAGAAAACTTTGCAACTTACATAGCACTCACTAGAAGGAATATCAATAGAAAAGGACTCCTCCCTCCTACCATTTTTCAGTAAGACTTTATTTTAAAGGAAGCAGAAGCTTAACAAGACAAAAAAATCTATAAATCCTTGCTCCTATTGAATATTATGTGCATAAGGAGACTCATAAATATTCTAGGAAGTGGTACCGAAAATGCCAAAAGTTGAAAAACTAAAATAAGATGATTTCTGTCAGGACAAGAAAATAAAGCCAACTAGTTGATTCAGGCAGGGAAAGAAAAACACCCAAATAAGTACTTTTTGAACCTTTTAGTCTTGTTGCTGTTGAATATTATTTCATCTAAGATATGTACATACAAATACATAGCTGTTGGTGTTTAGTTTTTTTAAAATGCCATTTTTATTTCATTTTTAAAAAAAATCAACTTTAATCAAAGTCAAAATTTTGAAAATTAGAATACTTAAAAAGAATTCATCGTGTGTTTTATTATATATATTTATATACCTAGATACCTGCTGATGTAGTGATTAAGAGCTCAGGCTGCTAACCAAAAGGTGGGCAGTTCAAATCCACCAACTGCTCCTTGGAAACCCTATGGGGCAGTTCTATGCTGTCCAGTAGGGTTGCTATGAGTCCAAATCGACTTGAAGGCAAAGAGTTTCTTTCTTTTTTTTTTTTTTTTGTAATTACGTAACTCTAGAGTTGCATTAATATACAGTAATGAAGATTAAAAAAAAACTTTAATAAGAATGTAGTCCTTAAATTTATGACGTATTATTGGATATAACATATATTTAAAT